GAAAAAGATTCAACAACTGCTTGGCTTTTAAAAACTACTAGTAAATGGTTCGAGTTGATATCTTCCAGAAGTAACATCTTGTCTATTTCAGAATTAAACATAGCGAAATATAAAGCATATCAATATAGAAAATAGATTTATCTGCCAACAGTATTTTAGACTTACAAGATTATTTTCTCAACACAAAAAACTACAAATTTTTGTGCACCTCGAAATTTAGCCAAGATTCTCTACAAAGTTTATGGGCAGTTTAAACAAAGACAAGAAATCATTGCAATTCAGATGTTTACGGATTTTTTTTGTATTATTCAGTGTCTGGATCCTAAGATTAAAAAATTGGTCGAAAGTTGTTTCAACAGAACTTCCCTCGCTCCTGAAATACAATGATAATTTGTTTGAGTCACCCTGTATACGCGAATCCAAAAAATATGAATAAAATGATAAATCACAAGTACAGACTCATCATATTTTGTACAATTTAGATAGGATTTATGCAGCAAAATTTCGGGGTGATGTCATGAATTTTTAAGTGGGGATGAGCAAATACATTTTGATCAAAAATTTTCTATTCTTATAATTACTTGAAAACCTCTCCAAGATTTGGTAGCATTCGGCTATGTACTTTTTGATTAAATGAATGAAATAAATACCCGCATTCATTAATTTTTTTGAGTTACCATGTGTATTCAAATCCAAAAACTTTGAACAGAATGATTAATTACAAGTACAGACTCATCATATTTTCTAAATTTTGAACTGACGTCGTCATTTTGATAAAAAATTTACCATGCCTATTATGACCTTAAAATATCTGCAAAATTTCAACGCATTCGGTTTAGCAGATTCAAAATAACATCACAAAATGTTGTTTTATGATTTTGATCTTTTTTCCAAAAATCTGAACGTTTGGAGTAAAAATACATACGGAATCATAAACTGCATGTGTAACACTATGTTATTTTACACAATTTAAAACCCATTTACTGCGTACAGTTTTGAAGTGGTGTCATCACATTATTGGTGGGGATGATTAAACAAATTTTGGTTAGCGTTTTACGATCTACATGATATTCTTAATATAAATACAAAATTTGTCAACAATCGGCCCAATACTTTCGGAGATTTTCTGTCTAAAAAAAATCCGGGACGGCAGACTGACGGACAGACAGACAGACAAACAGGCGGAAACGGGAGAGTCATTTCTTCGTACTGTAGGGGTCATGAAACGTCGCGAAAAAGTAGAGAGTCGGTCGACGGACTCGATTACAATACTTCCTTTGCTTACGCTAGGGAAGTAAAAAGGAAGTTAATAACTACAAATGAAAATAATGTTAATCCTTTATCAAATAATTCAGGCTCTAAGTTCAAAACAATTAGGTTTCTCAACAAGAGGTAAACATGCCAAGTGACCGAAAGGATAATAGTATTACTTTTGATAATGTCACACAAAATGCTTTATATACGCTGGCTACGTTTTAGCCGGACTAAAACGAAACAAAGTGTAAACTATATTTAGGAGCCATTAAAAAAAAAAAAAATGAGGCATCTTATACAAATTTACTTGCTTAGTGGATCAAACGAATTTATGATAAGAAAGATAATAACTTGAAGTTTTCTGACATTCACCAACAACCGTAAAACCTCCGAAAAAGGAGTTAATTTAGGACATTTTTCCGGATATCTGCAGAAAGCATTTTTTCTATATTGTGTGAATGGCAAGAGTTTTAGTCCAATAACACTCAAATCGGGAAACGTTAATTATTTTTTAAAACAAAGTAAATAAAAATCAAGAACTTTGAATTTGTCTAACGTCTAACTCCAAAACTATAAAATCAAATAAAGTAAAATGAAACAAATCGTATTAACTAATTTTAACAAATTCCAAACAAAAATTAAACTAAAGTTTCAGAGTGGCATATCTGCCATTTTATATTGCATTGGTGTAATTTGCCATTTTTATTGGAAATACTTCAATTTTATTTGGACAATTTTTGAGTAAAATTTCAATGATTTTTGTCTCAAAAACGAGAAGAGTTCTATTAGAACTTTTTTTTTATTTTTGGGGTATACTCATCAAGACCTGTTACCAATTTGTTTCATACATGTATTTCAAAAACAGCCTGTATAAAACCAACTTTTATTTTTTGTGTCTTGTTACTCTTACTTTGCCTGTATCTTTAATAAACTTAATTATATGGCATTTTTGCAATATATTGAAACGTGTATTTTTAACGCAACTGGAATAATTTATATTTTAGACTAGATACGCTACACTTTTCATAATGTTTGCGTTTTTTTAACGTCGACGTGACGTGCAATAGTAATTAGATCTGACCTACTCTAGCTTATTTTCATATTTATTGCGTCTTGTCGAGCTCATCGAACACTATTTCTTGTGGTTTTAACCACATTCTGCGTCTATTGAAAAGCCTTTACAAAGAACGATAACTTTGTTCGAGTTAGAAGCTTACTATTTTTAACAGTAATGTTCTAGGATAAATTTTCTTGGAGGAAAAAATAAATATTGTAATTTCCAACTGCCAAAAGCAATCCCTAAAATATTTTTGCGGTTATTACTCTGACTGACGATGACACTTTGGATTTTTTTTATGGGAGCATTTAAAATCAAGGTCTACATTAACAAACCAAACAATTCGGACGATCTCAAAAACCGAATTCGAATAGAAATAGGCAATATCACCAGTACATGCCATATGATGGGTAGTTGGCAGTTTGAACACAGTAGTTTTGTTGTTGTTTTGCTTTAGAATTTCGATTCAAATTGTGTCAATAAATCGAATTTTTATTTCTCCAAATTTAATAGAATTTTTCCCAGAAAAAATGCGTATTTACAATTGGAGTTGCTATTTAAAAAAATATGATGACACCACGTGCAAAAACGGCTGGTTACAAAAAAAAAAATTGTATCCTGCTATTTTACGGATTCAAATGTGTCCGTAAAATGAGTCTTTTTTGGACTCAATCCCAAAAAGTTACCATGGCAACTATTGCTAATCATCTGGGATGATTTAGTTATATTTATTAGTCCACTATGTATTTTCGAGAAGTATTTGCTTTGGTCACATTAGTCGTATTAAGAGATTTATTGAGATGTTTTCGGGAGCTTGAACAAAAAAAATGTTTGTAACACGTTCCTAAAACCTTTTTTGGGACTCGGCTTCGCCTCATCTGGAAACAGCAAAATTCGTCCCAAAAAACTATGTTTATTTATAACAAAAATAACTATTTTATGAACAACGCTAATAAAAAGGACAGTTTACGTTTGGGTTACCATTGTTGAAAAAAATGGTCGAAAGTTGTTTCGACAGAACTTCCCTCGCTCCTGAAGCACAATGAAACATATCCAGCATTTTCGAGTTGATATTATTCTTTACACAATTTTGTGATTACGTCATCAATATTTTTGCAAGGGCGCGTGTATCAACTTGCATTGGTGCAATGTAATACCTACTAAAGATAATAATATTGTACATATTCCCAAAATTTTCTAGGAAAATAGGGTGAGCCGTTGTTTACTTAATCAATAAAATAAATTGTCTCATTCATTAATTTTTTTGGGCCACCTCTTTAAGCAAATCTGAAAAATATGAATGCAATGATAAATCACAAATAAAAACTCATCATATTTTGCACATTTTGGGTAGAATCTTTTCGGCAAAATTTTGAGATGACGTCGTCAGTTTTTTGGGGGAAATAAACAGATAGATTTTGGCTAACAATTTACCATGCTTGCAATAACTTTAAAGCGTCTGCAAAATTTTAAAGCATTCAGTTTTGCAATTCTTGATTTATTCAATAAAATAAATTAACTGATTCATTAATTTTTTTGAGTGACTGTATAAGCGAATCTGACAAATGAGGTTCTTAATTTGATCAGTAAAAAATTTTTCGAAGGCTATATGCATAATCCGACAAATCCAGCTCTTTAAAAAAATTATAAAATTTGATTTTACGATTTTCGTTCTGTGTTAACCACCGTAAAGTAAAAACCTGAGCCATAAATAACACTCGTTGTCTTTCAGCAGTAGATAATAACAATCTGAAGCTCAAGTGTTTATTTATGATTATACATCGAAAGAATGTCACGTAGAACTTAGGTCTATTTGAATGCTCTGAATTCTTATTTTATCATTATTATAAATATAAAGACGTTCGCATTCTTCACATTTTCGACAAAATGTGGTGACTCGTTTTTAATTCGACCAATAAAAAATTTATGATGACGTCATTAACATGGATAATTCTAGTCACAGCATAAAAGAAAAATAGTCACAGCGTTATACCAATGCAATAAAAAAAGGAAAGGGCCAAGTCCGGCATCGAACCACAATCGCAGTACCGCAGGTCGCCATTATCTCCAATACACCTATTGCGCCACAGAGACGTTCAAACCATGTCAGGAATAAAACGCTATTATACCTTGCTAATGTTTTTGCGAAAGTTTGAACGTTTGGCGAAAAAACTGAAAGTGGATTCGTACACTACAAGTAAATCAGTATATTTTTGTGTAACATTCAAATCATTTTAGAATACCATTCATTCAAATTTCGTCATCAAATTGTTGATGGGGATGATTAGCCAAATTTTGGTTAACATTTAACCATCTACATGATATTTCTAATATACACACAAAATTTGACAACAATCTGTTTAGCAGTTTTGGGGATTACGTGTCTAATAAAAATCGACAGACAGACAGACGGAAACGGGTGACTACTTGTTTCGTACTGTAGGGGTCATAAAATGTCGAGAAAACAATAAAGTGGCCATTCGTCCGATAGACTCGATTACAATACTTCCTTCGCTTACGCTCGGGAAGTAAAAAAAAACAGACAAAGACCGTTGGCCGTAAAATACTTCAGGCAAACGCTTGATTGAAAAGATAATAATACAAGTACAATATCTGATACGTTGTTGAATATAATTCCTTGACGAGACTAATTTCTCGTAATTTCACAATCATTTCCGGAACCCTGTTAGATACATTCATCAAATGGTCAATGGTCATGTTTTAGAAATCATACTGATTTTCTTTTCTATAAGTTTATTTGATGATGTTCTTCTGAACCCGAAATTAATTGGACAATCTTGGTTGTCGTGCGATTGAGTCTTCTATACGTGTAATATCCATTACCGGCTAGTAACATGGCAGAGGTCCTGCAGAAGGTGTGACCAGTATACTTGCTTGCGTCGGGAAGTTGAAGATACTGTGCAACTGTTTTCGGAGTACTTCCAAAAATATTTTTCCCACGATTTGTACAGTGCTCCATTCTTCATGTATTGTAAGAAACAACGACGATGTGTGCAAAGCAACAGCTTTTTTATAGAAGTCGAAGCCGGAGATTAATTAATTACAAGAACAGAGCCTCCGTCTTCTAAACCATCCTCCCTTCGACAAGCTCCAAAAATTCCACATAAAGGAGCAATCTATAATCTAAAATCATGGATATTATAGAAAGCAAATATGTGATTTTCTTACTTTAATCATGACTGAAGTTGTGCATCTCATAAGGAACCTTCAAAAAAACTAAAGCACATTTCCTTATTTATCATTTACCATTGCTTTCTTAGTCTGGTGACTAACCCGATTAATTTTCAGAAAATATATGAACTTTCTGTACAATTTAATATTTACGTTTTTTTTTCCTTTAACTAATGGAGTGTTTCAAATTAGAAATTGATATGTTTTAGCCTGAAAAAAGATTTACTCAGTCTCTGATAATTACAAGCTGGGGAATAACATACATGTTCGTTAAAGTATGCCAGTATCAGTGTCTCGTTAATTTAATTACATTTACCTGGTTTTCTCTCATCCAGACTTAAACAACTGATATTCGATTTCACAACGATTTTTAGATTTTTGAGGCAGCAATTTATACCTTGTTTCGTCCGCCGCCACTAATTCAGAAGCTTCTTCGGAATGATTTTCCATTTTTATTATCAAAATTAGAAATGGGCCACTCATGTTTATACCGTTTTTATCGAAATCAAATACGTACCTTTCAGTGCAACAAAACATTTTTATGTCAACATTGTCAAAAAGAGAATAATTTGCGACTGTAATTAATTACACAAGCACACACAATTACAATTCATTTAGCGGGATAAATTTTGATTTTCAACGAAATCTATTTACCTGGCATTTTGACGACAAAAAGTGCTAAAAGGCAAACTGAATGAAAATGAATGGCTCGAGTGTAATAATTTAATAATTACCTCGTCTTAGCTGTAGAAGTTTGTTCACTTTGGGACGATTAATAAAAAAATTCCAACTAATGAATTTACTACTTTAACAGAAGCTTTTCCACTAATTAACTAAGAGGTTAAACACAGAGTTCGAAGTAATTTAAATATATTCTCGAACAGATCTTCGAAATGCATCTGGCGCATTGTCACTATTGGATCTTTATATTCAGAACAAGTGTGTAAATTACGCCCACGAGCCGCCACTGTTCGTACTGAACTTTGAATAGAACACTTACAGCATGAATTATTTATAGGCATGATGTTTCATGTTAAAGGTTCTATCAAAGAAACTAACCCCAATACTGTAACTTACCTAGGGGACTAGGGAATAGCTTTGACGAAGACTATCTAACATAATGAAATTTATTTTGAAACATAAATTTAATCTCAACTTTTACAAGAAGAGGTTTTAATAAGAGCAATTTTTGTTGTTATAGAAAAGTTATTTGTGGATTACAAAAAATTGTTTTCGTGGTATGATTCAAAAAAAGATTTAGATTTTCCCAAACACAGTGTTACGTGATATAATATAGATTTCTTACGAAAAGGTTAACCACGACGCCTTCTATTATCCTTTGAAAATTTTTTAAAGTAATTTTAAAATCCACATCCAGCAACTTATATGCAATAAACTCTTCATAATTACATAATCAATAAAAAGGCCACAATTTTTGACTTTTTGTTATAGTCTTAGATTCAGGGTTACCTACGAATTATGATAATTACTTAGATAAGGAAACTGCTAGTATATAAATCACTAACACTGTTCTCGTCGCAGCTCTGTCAGATTTACATATGACCAAATAGCATATTTACTGGAGGAATTTATAACAGCACGTTATGTATAGGGATATATTTATTTGAAGGTTGTCTTAATTTCGGATATCAATGCCCAAATCTTTTTCTACTTCGTTTCCGCTTTTCTGGCGTATCTTTCAAAATTCCAACAATAGCCTGTTGGTTCTACCAACATCGATACCTCATAGCCTTGACCGGCTTTTTGACATATAGCTACTGCTTTATTGAACTTCGACCTTTTAGTCTGATGACATTTTCATCGGCTATTACTCTTTGATACAGTTGCCGACAGTATTGGAAATTTGAGTTCAAAAATTAAAAATTAGGCACCTCGTACAGCTTATCGAAATTATTTCTACCACGATTCGGCATAACAGAATTATCGCTTCGGTAAATGTGGGATATAAGGATCATGGAGAGCTGGTGATATAATACTGTTACGATTGACGGACGAATAATAAATCGGGTGTTGGTAAAACTCAAAAAAAAATTTATTTCTTCAGGTCGAATTACAACACTATCTATTGCGACGAATATGTACAGAAATTATTCCGGCGCTCTCGACTGTCTTCACTCGATGATTGAATCCATTACCTACGGTCGCCTCTATTTAAACCCATAGTCTCTGATCGAGATCCTTCACGAACATCCATCGCGACTCCGCTTCGAGACTCCCCTGGACGCCGCTTCGAGACGCTCCAGACCTGTCTTTATGCGCCCGCCTCTCGGCCGTCAACAGCGATGATTCACCCATCAGCGCCGTGCGTACGTCCAGAAGGCTCTCGACCGCCATAGGCGTCGTACTGGGGCGGCGTAAGGGTGTATTTCGTAACACTGCCCCCCTCTTCAAATCCGATCGTCCCGATCGGAAGCGTCTTCGTTGTTTCCTTCGTACCGTTTTAGTCGATCGAGATGAACGATCTTCATCTTCGTCTTTGGTCCACGTTGGATCCGATAAACTACGTCATTTATTCTAGTGACGATAGTGTATGGACCTTCCCAGTCAGGAGCCAGTTTTGGGCAACGTCCCTTCTTCCGTCGGGGGTTATACAGCCACACTAAGTCATCTTCCTGGAATCCGCCACAGTTGGCCTTCACATCATAACGGGTCTTCATTCGGTCACTGGCAATCTTGATCCGGCCCCTCACTAGTTCATGCACGTTGACCAACTTCTCTTTCAGTTCGTCCACGTAGTCACGTACTTCCATTGGTTCTTCGGATGGCAATCCAAAGACTAGGTCACAGGGCAGCCGCAGTTCCTTCCCAAATACAACGTGAGCAGGTGTTTGGCCCGTGGTGTCGTGGATAGCTGCGCGGTAGGCCAGCAGGAATAGTGGAAGGTGCTGGTCCCAATCCCTTTGGTGCTCTTCTACCACTTTCGAAAGGTGTTGCTCCATAGTCCGATTGAACCTTTCCACCATGCCGTCGGACTGTGGGTGTAGTGGCGTTGTCCTTGTCTTACGTATTCCCAGTAGCTGCATCACTCTTTGGAAGACGTTGGATTCGAAATTGCGTCCCTGGTCTGAGTGAAGTTCCAAGGGGACGCCAAACCTACTGATCCAATTGTCAACCAGTACTTTCGCGACCGTGACGGCTTCCTGATTTGGAATGGCATAGGCATCTGGCCACTTGCTGAAGTAGTCGCTAGCCACCAGGATAAACTTGTTGCCGTCGTTTGTTACAGGGAACGGACCGGCCACATCGATGGCGATTCTTTCGAAAGGTGCCCCAACATTATATTTCTTCATCTTTCCCCTCGCCCTGGTATGAGGACCTTGGCTGGCCGCACACGTCGTACACTTGCGACACCAACTTTCGACATCGTCACGATGACCTACCCAATAAAACCTCTCCCGGATTTTCGACAAAGTTTTGTTCACTCCGAAGTGGGCTCCAGATGTTCCGGCATGAACTTCCTCTAAGACCTTGGAAACCTTTACCTTGGGGAGGACCAGCATCGTCTTAGAGGTACGCCCATCAGGACTCTCCCACTTTCGCTTCAAGAGCCCATTTTCCATGACCAAGGAATCCCATTGGGCCCATAACGCCTTCAAACTGGGGGATTGGTCGGACAATTCTGCCCAGCCGGGTCGTTCGACTCCTTCCTCCTTCCACTTTAGTATTGGTCCGATTATGTCGTCTGCTTCTTGCTCACGCTTTAACCGCGCCGTTGTCCATTCTTCATCTTGCTCAAAAATCGTCCGACGAACGGGCAGGTTCCCTTCTTCCGCGTCGATCCTGTCGCAGTGCTTGCACTCTCCACACGGACGTCTTGACAAAGCGTCAGCGTTGTTGTGAAGTCGACCCGCTCGGTGCTTGATCCTAAAGTGGTACTGCTGTAGTCTTTCCAGCCAACGCGCTACTTGGCCCTCGGGATTCTTTATCCGCAGTAGCCACGAGAGGGCAGCGTGGTCGGTCCTGATCAGAAACTCCTGTCCGTATAGATACTTGTGGAAGTGGTTGACGGCTTTGACAATGGCTAGTAGTTCCTTCCTTGTGGCACAGTAATTTCTCTCTGGTTTGGAATGTAATTTGCTAAAATATTCGATAACCCTTTCCTCCCCATCTTGTATCTGCGACAATACGGCCCCAATTCCCGAGTTACTCGCATCGGTATCGAGGACGAACATTCCTTTGTCCCTGGGGTAAGCCAAAATGGGGCTGGTGCACAAAGCCGTCTTCAGTCTCTTAAAGGCCATCTCACATGTACTGCTCCACTTGAAAGTCGCCTTCTGCTCCGTCAGTTGGTGTAACGGTGCTGCGATGTCGGCATACCCTTCTACAAATCGTCGGTAATATGTGCAGAGTCCCAAGAAGCTTCGTAGTTCATGCTTGTCTCTTGGTATGGGCCAATCCCGGATAGCAAGAACTTTCGTCGGGTTGGTTTCTATTCCTTTCTCCGACACGATATGGCCCAGGAATTCGACTCTTTTCTGGAAGAGCGAGCATTTCTTGGGATTTAGTTTCAAACGAGCCTTCTCCATTCGTTCTAGCACCTCCTCGAGATTCTTCAGATGGTCGTCAAACGTTTTGCCCATAATCATGACGTCGTCGAGGTATACCAGACAGGTCTTCCATGTCAATCCTTTCAGCACCATCTCCATCAGCCGCTCGAATGTTGCTGGCGCATTACATAATCCGAAGGGCATAACGGTGAAGTGATAGAGGCCACTTCCGGTGGAGAACGCAGTCTTTTCTTTGTCGTCCGGGTGCAAGCCTACTTGCCAGTAGCCACTCTTCAAGTCCAAGGTCGAAAACCACGCCGAGCCGGATAAGGTCGTCAAGGTATCGTCTATTCGAGGAAGGGGGTAACTGTCTTTCTTCGTGACGTCGTTCAGTTTCCTGTAATCGACGCAAAATCGGGTAGTCCCGTCCTTCTTGGTAACCAAGACTACTGGAGATGACCACGCGCTGTTGGATTCTTCAATTACCCCATCTCTCAACATGTTGTCCACGAGTCTTGTAGCTTCTTCTTGTTTGGCTAGGGGTAGTCTTCGAGGAGCCTGACGGATCGGTTGCGTGTCACCAGTGTTTATTCGGTGTTCTACGATGTTGGTCTTCCCGAATGGTTCCTCCTCTGAGGCGAAGACATTACGGTGCCTACGAATGAGTCCTTTGGCCAGTTTTCTCTCACGAGCAGACAGCTGGTTCCAGTTGACCTCCAAGCCTTTGGTATCCCCTTCCTTAGACTCATTCTCAACGTCTTCTTCCTCGCAGTTCAATACTCGGGCGACTGGCTCACACATTCCGATAATCTCCCCTTTTCTAATATTGACTGCATTGGGAAACACGTTTGCCACACGTAAGGGTATGTCACGATCGGTTTTGACTAGGGTGCTTGCGATCAGGAGCTTGTGGGTCGAGTCATGTGCCGGCTGCACCATCCCCAAACTGTATCCGGGGTTCGTCTCTACTCTGGCGGGGACGATGACTTCTGCATTACCATCTACCTTCGTTGTCTGACAGACCACTAGTCTGACCGTTGCAGCTTCCACATTCGGACGTCCCAGCACAAATTCTTCGGCTCCAAAACGCAGAATTTTCTGTTCTGGATCGATCATTAAACCATACCGGCTGATTAGGTCCATTCCCAGAATGAAATCGTCAGCGATTTCCGCCACCAGAACTTCATGCCTTATTCGGAGTCGACCGAGTTCTACATTCACCACCGCTGTACCCAGAACCGGTGTTGTTTCTCCC